GAGGCGGTGAAAGGGGCGTGCAAACAGCGCAGAGCGCAAACCATCCCTGCCTGCAGTGACCGACAGAGAAGACCGTCCAGGTGCTTGTAAACGGGATGGGGGTTCCGAGCAACCTTTCAGCCCTTCACAGCCGAGAAAACGCCCGGCCAGACCGAAGATGGAATAAAGTTTCTGAAAGCCCTGAAAACTCGGGCTCATAAGTCCCGAGAACTCTCATGGCTGAGGACCCTCCGCAGGTCCATGGAAATGGAGGGGAGAATGCGCCTTTCCCTGGTGCCAACGTCCTCAGCTGCGTGGCGATCAATATGGCTTTGGAACCCTAAGATCACACCATTTGTTCTGGGGACGAGTGCACTGCCGCTGCGTTGATTCCGGCCCTATAAGACCCATAATGACCCTATAGGATAGGCTAGAACTGCCCCTGTGTGTTTCTGAGACACTTAGTGGGAGTCGAAAGCCTCCTCATTCTCCTGCTGTTCGGCCGGTAGTTTCGAACTACTGACCTTGCGGTGGGCAGTCCAGTGGTTCAACCAGAGCCACCAGAAATCTTTTTGGGTTTTCATAGGGTACAAAAGGAACAATAGTTAAGGCTTCAGCCAGGACATTCAAGACAAAGACACAGAACCATCCCCAGGGAGGGAGGCCATTCGCTGGAGTTGTAATGGCGTCTATGGGTTTACAGATCATGGAGCCTTAACTGAGACCTGGGTGGGCAGAGGAAACTGTCACAAAAGCATGGCTGGCAGAAGACCAGGGCACCACAGTTGCAGGCAGGACCATGCAAGTGGGTATGGGGCCATGATTGGGAGGCAGACCTTCTGCGAGACAGAGCCGCTCTGGGGTGCACTCTGCCCGGAGCAGAGCTCATTGCAGCCCCCGCTGTGTCAAGGTCGGCAGGAATTCAGAGGAGGTAAATGTATGTGCGGACACCTAAGTGCGTCTTGAGCTCCCACTGCGAGCCGTCACCTTCCCCAAACTCAGGGCTCAGAACTGTAAGCGGTACCCAATCTGTTCATTCACACCAAGGTGCTAAGGGTGTCCCTGGTGGTGCAGAGGGTCAGTCGGCACTGGATTGCAAGCGGAAAGGTTGGCCCCGGGAGCCCCTCCTGCCATGTCTGCAGTGCTGTTTCTGAACAGTCCCGTTGCAGAGACCAAGGGAGGGTCTGAGCTGCTTGTCACTGTTTCAGCCAAAGAAGATCAGGTTGACTGGAGAAACTCTTGCACTTATTCTGCAAGTGTGTGTGATAGTTCAGGATTATTATTCCAACCTGGCGTATAAACACATGTGGGGTTAATTGGAGGGGGGGCGGGATAAATAGCTCAGCGAGCCTCACCTGTCTTGTCTCTTGCTTCGTGATGGTCGGACCAGGCTGCAGTTGCTTTATCCAGTTCCCTGCTTCAGCTGGCAAGGCTGACTTCC